CTTTAATGGTCTGCTATATAATGGCCGCCGGACAGGGTTACCAGAGACTTGACAAAGCGCAACTGCGCGAAACATGTCGTCTCGGTAACCCTACACATGCTCCCAGCTGAAGCCAACGCCGGACACTGCTTTCGCTTGCCATGGTGACACCACTCGGGGTGCCGGTACGCTGACACCACGTGATTTGAAGCCGACAGGAGCGTTCTATGATCTCAGCTCCCTTCAGAGTGGACGGGCCGTCCGTTGGAGTCACACTGTTCACTTCAGGCTGGTCAAATTTTATTATATTTGCTATTTTGTCCTCACCCAATAAAGATGCACCTTCATTAAGTTGCTTGACTGAGAGCATTTTCCACAGCGCCTATTTTTTTCAGTTCTCTTCATCATGCAAATGATTAACAAGGCAGCAGTGGTGAACTCATGATTAACTGTTCATATGTTTCCACCTGAAGTGGCCTCTCTGCGCTCATTTGTATGAGTTTCCCTGAGACTGTCACACACCTCCTCACAGGGTTTTGTTGTTATGTGTGACTTAAAGGACTTCCTTTCCCTACTGGATATTTTTAGCTGGGACGAGCTCTGTCCTTGTCACTTTGTCATGCAAGAGGACCTGATGGAGCCTTGAGTGGCAGCTGTGATTTTTGTTGTGGATCACAGCTACACCACTATATACTGACTACAGGGAGGATGAGGTGGAGGATGAAGTGAAGACTGAAACATCACTACCCCTCCCCTTTGACCACATTCAATCAGAGAATTCCTTGTATTCACTGAAAAAAAATACAAGGCATTTTATGAATGGTGGCGGTGCCAAGCAAGTAACTCCCTGTGGTTAGTGCACAGAGGGAAAGCCACTCCCACATAACCTGAGTAGAACCCACCAACTACTGCAGTGATTTCCAGCTTCCCCAGCAGTCCATCAGGTATGAGATATACATAGTTATATTGTGTCAAACTGGACCACTGTAAGTATGCAAAACAGATACTGCCTGGAGTTCAACTTTAAATAGTAATAAAAGAAATATGAGATAACTTTTACGTTAGCACATAGATACAAATGGAACAGCAGAGTAGTTAAGAACTGATGTAAAATTTATCAGTTAAACTTGTAAACAACAAGAAAACATTTTCATATAGAACATCACAAGATCAAAATGGACCTTTTAAAATTTGAATGAACCTAATTTTCTGAATCGTTATGGTATTAAAGCACTACGCAGTTCTTGAAATATTTCCCCCACATTGCACACTGCACATTTTAAGTAAATGCTAGTACCAATAAATATACAAGAATTCCTAGAACTCAACGTGTCTGCAAAAAAATTCCAAAACATCCCAGAGCTTATCAGCCCACTCAAACGTGTATGGAGTGCTTTCAAGTGTGATATAGAATTCAGGGGATACCAGGCTAAATATTTCTAGGAATCAGATAACAGGAGGAGACAAGCAGTTAGGCAAGCAACTGGAAAGACTACTAGCGTGGAACGTAGACAACACAGACTGTTTACCTCCGAAACGTTCAGCACTGCCTTCAAATAACATGTATGAAGACTAGATCTCTAGTTCAAAACAAATATTTTTGCAACATAAAAAGCAGGTTTTCGGAGTACAAAGTTTGACAACAGTGTAATAATATACAGACGTAATTGTCATATATACAGAAATATAAACAGTAGCTATGTCTACACAATACTAACATAGATTAGTTATTTTTTTACACTATGCTGAGATAAATGTACTGTATATACAACCCTATTAATTGTCTAAGTTGAAATTGTAACTCAAAAAATCTAATTTCTAATATTTTTTTTTTACCTTAATGCATTCTCTGCATTAAGGTAAAAAACTCCATAAAAACTGTTCATCCCCCCCCCCCTCCCTTCTCAAACACTTACCTTAGTCCTCTAAGTGATCCAGCGCTGTGTCGGCTGCAGGTCTTTTGCCTCTACTTCCTGGTCTCCTAGAAGACCCTGAGAACCTATGGGTCCTACTAGTGTCAGTCAAATCCTTTGAGGAGGGAGTGGGGGGCATGGCTGAGTTACACTGTGGGTGTGTCTGTGGATGTACACAGCCCGATTTGGTAGTGTAAATGCACAGGTGCCTACTCAGCAATCCAGAAGAGAAGATCTCTAAGTGGTTGTAAAGGCTGAAGGCTTCCATTAAGGTAAAAACCCTTCTATTATCAGCTCCCCCCCAGTCCCGCCCAATCCTTACCAGAGCACAATCTCAATCCAGCACTGCTGTCTCTCTCGTACAGCACTGTGAGAGCAGCGGGAGCCATTGGTTTTTGCTGTGTCAATCAAATCCAGTGAGGAAGGAGTGGGGGCGTAGCCAAGCTGTTCTGTGTGTGTCTATGGGTGTGGCATGGGTGCCCACTCAGCACATGGCTTGCTGAGGCGTTACATGGAGAAGAGGGGTGGACAGCATTGACTGGGGACTGCAGAAGGGGAAATGAGAGAGTGCTCTGAGCAATATTGTTGAACAACAGCAGGTAAGTATGACATCTTTTTTATTTTATTAAAACAAAAATAGGCTTTAAAGTGGTGTTAAAAGCTGCAGTATTTTTACCTCAATGCATTTTGTGCATTAAGGTAAAAAACCTTCGATTGTCAACCTCCCAATACTTCCATGAACCTAATCTTGATTCAGAGCTAAGCCCCAGATCAGCAGCACCACTCCTTCTCTCCTTCCTTACTGGACTCAGTGAGAGCAGCGGGAGCCATTGGTTTCTGCTGTTGTCAATCAAATCAAGTAATGTGGGAGCGGGGGACAGGGTTAAGCTGCATTGTGTGTGTCTATAGACACACAAAAAATGTTTGTTTCATTTTGTATAGAGTGAGGGGGAATTATAACTCCTTGCCATCTGTGTCCCATTTGGTAGATTTCCATATCCTTTCTGTCTCATAGCCACAATAGAAAATTGAGGAAAATCTCTGATAGTCACCAGAACTAGTATATTCACTGGAAGATTTGCCCCCTGTAAAAAAGGGCACAAATGGTCTGGGGAACCCATCCAACTAATGTATATGTATCGAGAGGTGCCGCCCTAATAATATGGGTAGGGTGTAACCAAGGAACCAAGGCATAAACACTCAATAAGCTACCTCTACAAAAATATTTATTACATAAAAAATATATAACATGCATTGCAAGTATGTGGAACCAGCACACACCTCATTGCCAAACGTCAATGTCCTAAAATACCACCGACCTAGACCACCCCACCAGAGCCCATATGCCCCCTCCCTCCAAAAGGATGTAGACAACTCCCCCCCCCCACACCCACACACACACCCACCTGTCCGCACCCTACCTCTCCAACAATCCCCAAGCCCCCCCACCCTCACCCAGGGACCAAAAACCCCCTCGCCCCTGCATATGGGAATCCCCACCTCCAAACAGGGGATAGATGATACAATCCCACATCGCCCCACAAATTGCCACTCTAAATGGCAAGGAAGAAACCAGGATCAGTCCTAGTGCCCACTATTCAGAATGAGCCAAAGGCTGTCTACTAGGTAAAGGTCCTGCATGATTCCCCGGTCTAACCATGCACAACTCAGACTGTTCTGCCACCCCACCCGCAGCTGCAACCCTCTAAGGCTAAATGTGGTCAAACATATAAATGTATATCAATGAATGCATAGACTGGTAAATAACACAAAATACAACATGCTATTCCGTGTATACACCTATAGCCAATGGTAGGAGTCCAAGATTGAACACATGAAGGCTATGGCCGTGAAAGGTTCTAGAAACAACAGTCCATGGTCATATGACCTTTCTTCTCTTTTTTATGAGATTTTCCCCCTGTTTTGATGACCTTTTTTCAAGAACAAATACTGTTTTTTCATTTTTTTCTGAATCTCAGTAATGCAATTCTTCTCCTACTCTTTTCAGCAACTTCTTATTTATATGCTTTTGCTCCAGTGTCAGTTGGGCATTATTGCTCTGGACTGGCATCCTGAGGGTGACAGCCTTGGACCATACCTACCAAATGGTTGTTAGCACAGCCACTTGTACTCCTAGTCAAGTATGCATGAGACAGAGTGACAATGTAGGGATAGCAACTGAGAGACTGTTGTCACCAAGGAACAGAAAGTGCTTGAACAAACAGAATCACCAGGTAATGGAAAATTATCACCAGATAATGAAAGCTTGAAAACAAGTTTTAAATCTAATTAAGATGCTAAAACGTACACTATATTGCCAAAAGTATTGGGGCATCTGCCTTTACACACACACACACACACACACACATGAACTTTAATGGCATCCCAGTCTTATTCCGTAGGGTTCAATATTGAGTTGGCCCACCCTTTCCAGCTATAAAATCATCAACTCTTCTGAGAAGGCTGTCCACAAGGTTTAAGAGTGTGTCTATGGGGACAAGCACTGATGTCGGACGAGAAGGCCTCCGCTCTAAGTCATCCCAAAGGTGTTCTTTCGGGTTGATGTCAGGACTCTGTGCAGGCCACCCCAAATTCACTCATCCATGTCTTTATGGACCTTTCTTTGTGCACTGGTGCGCAGTCATATTGGAACAGGACAGGGCCATCCCCAAACTGTTCCCACAAAGTTGGGAGCATGAAATTGTCCAAAATGTATTGGTATGCTGCACTGGCACTAAGGGGCCAAGCCCAACCCGTGAAAAACAACCCCACACCATAATCCCCCCCCCCCTCCACCAAACCTTACACTTGGCATAATGCAGTCAGGCAAGTACTGTTCTCTTGGCAACCACCAAACCAGACATGTCCATCAGATTGTCAGACAAAGAAGCGTGATTCGTCACTGCAGAGAACACATTTCCACTGCTCTAGAGTCCAGTAGCGGCGTGCTTTACATCACTGCATCCGACGCTTTGCATTGCACTTGGTGATATAAGGCTTAGATGCTGCTGCTTGGCCATGAAAACCAATTCCATGAAACTCTCTACGCACTGTAGTTGTGCTAATCTAAAGGCCACATGAAGTTTGGAGGTCTTTAGCTATTGACTGTGCAAACAGTTGGTGACTTCTGCACATTGTGCGCTTCAGCATGCGCTGACCCCGCTCCGTCATTTTACATGGCCTACCACTTTGCGGCTGAGTTGCTGCTGTTCCCAGTTGCTTCCATTTTGTTATAATACCACTAACAGTTGACCGTGGAATATTAAGTAAGGAAATGTCATGGATGGACTTATTGCACAGGTGGCAACCTATCATGGTACCACATTTGAATTCACTGAGCTCCTGAGAGTGACCCGTTCTTTCACAAATCTTTGTAGAAGCAGTCTTCATGCCTAGGTTCTTGATTTTATACATCTGTGGCCATGGAGGTGATTGGAACACCTGAATCCAATGATTTGGAGGGGTGTCCCAATACTTTTGGCAATATAGCATATATGAGATTTTAATGACTGGACTAGATATACTTTGCCTGAATGCCACCTCATCTTACATCTTGGTCACCCAGGCTTTCTATTTCATTTTTACTTTACCTGATGGAAAAGTCAAGCATTGGCTTACATTTTGAAAAAGTGAACTATCTCTATTGCATGGCAACTAACACAGTGGTGCTGCACATACTGTGCATCCAGAAAGTATAACTTTTGCCACATTTTGTTATGTTACAGCCTTAATCCAAAATGGATTAAATTAATTTTTTTTTCCTCAACACTCTAAAACAATACCCCATAATGACAACGTGAAAGAAGTTCGGTTTGAAAAAAAAAATGAGCTCTGGTGCATCCTGTTCCCACTGACCATCCTGTTTCCACAACTTGATTGGAGTCCACCTCTGGGAAATTCAGTTAATTGGACATGATTAGGAAAGGCATAAACCTGTCTATAGAAGGTCCCACAGTTAACAGTGCATGTCAGAGTACAAACCAAGACATGAAGTCCAAGGAGTTGTCTATAGACCTCTGAGACAGGATTGTATCAAGGCACAGATCTGGGGAAGGGTACAGAATAATTTCTGCATCATTAAAGGTCCCAATGAGCACAGTGGCCTCCATCATCTGTAAATGGAAAAAGTTTGGAACCACCAGAAATCTTCCTAGAGCAGGCCACCCAGCCAAAATGAGCAATCAAGGGAGAAGGGCTTTAGCCAGGGAGGTAAGCAAACACTCAAATGGTCACTCTGAAAGAGCTCCAGCATTTCTCTGTGGAGACAGGAGAACCTTCCAGAAGAACAACCATCATTGCAGCATTCTACCAATCAGACCTGTATTGTAGAGTGGCCAGACGGAAGCCACTACTCAGTAAAAGGCAAATGGCAGCCCACCTGGAGTTTGCCAAAAGGCACCTGAGGGACTCTCAGACCATGAGAAACAAAACTCTGTGGTCTGATGAAACAAAGATTGAACTGTTTGGCCTGAATGCCAAGCATCATGTCTGGAGGGAACCAGGCACTGCTCACCACCTGGCCAATACCATCCCTACAGTGAAGCATGGTGGTGGCAGCATCATGCTGTGGGGATGTTTTTCAGCAGCAGGAACTGAGAGACTAGTCAGGATCAAAGGAAAGATGAATGCGGCAATGTACAGAGACATCCTTGATGAAAACCTGTTCCAGAGCGCTCCGGACCTTAGACTGGGGCGACGGTTCATCTTTCAACAGGACAACGACCTGAAGTACACAGCCCACATAACAAAAGAGTGGCTACGGACCAACTGTGTGACTGTCCTGGAGTGGCCCAGCCAGAGCCCAGACTTGAACCCGATTGAACATCTCTGGAGAGATCTGAAAATGGCTGTGTAACCTATCTCTTCAGGGAAGCATATCCTACCCTCAGCTAATAATGGAATCTTCTACTCTTTCTACCAGTCCATCCCCCACAGTTAGTACATTTTGTACCACTAGCCCCTCCCTCCTAGATTGTAAGCTCCAAGGAGCAGGGCCCTCCAATCCCTCTTGTATTGAACTGTATTGTTGCTGTATTGTCTCCAGTTATATTGTAAAGCGCTGTTGGCGCCATATAAATCCTGTATAATAATAATAAAGTGTACCGACGCTCTCCATCCAACTTGATGGAGATTGAGCGATACTGCAAGGAAGAATGGGAGAAATTGCCCAAAAATAGGTGTGCCATGCTTGTAGCATCATACGCAAAACAACTTAAAGTTGTAATTGGTGCTAAAGCTGCTTCAACAAAGTATTGAGCAAAAGCTGTGAATACTTATGTATATGTAGTTTTTTTTTTGTTTTTTATTTTTAATAAATTGCAAAGATTTCAAAATGAACTTCTTTCATGTTGTCATTATGGGGTATTGTTTGTAGAATGTTGAGGGAAAAAATGAATTTAATCCATTTTGGAATAAGGCTGTAACATAACAAAATGTGGCAAAAGTTAAGAGCTGTAAATACTTTCTGGATGTAGTGTATATTACTGGACACATTGATTGTGAGATCCTCACCAAAGGAAAGCAGGTGGCCAAAAGAGACTTGTTCATTCATTTTGTTTAAATATTCCTCATAGAAGGAGAAGAGATAGAGCTGCCTTTCTATGCCTGTTGGAAACATATGCTGGGAGGATGATGAGCATGCTTCTATGTGATCAGCCCCCACCTCCCTAAGCAAACACAGGGGAATTATTTAAAAAAAAAAAACATACAAGGGATTAATTAGGCACCCAGGTGTTACTGCTATCTTTCTGTGGCTTTTATCTGAATGCAAAGAAATGTTAAACAAATACTGATAGTAAAAACAGCTTCTTTCTGTACATGAAAGCTGACAAGTCTTTAAAGTGTACTACTTTACTGTAGTATAAGTGTTCCTGCTGGCCCAATGGTTGGCAAAAAAATAGGGGGAAAATGTGCATGTCTATAAAAATTAATAAATAATATGAAGTTGTTACACTTTTATAAAAAAAATACATATAAATTAGAATAACGTCAAAGTGGAATTCCAGCCAAAACTTGTTTTTTATTCTTGGCTAAAGTGTGGAAGGGTAGGAATCTTTGTCTAGATTAGCCTTTAAGCTTTTCACCTCTCGAGGTTCTCGGGGATCCTGGCTAAAAAAAAAAATTATACCTCATGATCAATAAGTTAAAGAAAGTTTTTAATAAAAGAATATGAATTGTGGCTTTCCTAGAGTATTTGACACCCAGTGCATAATGTTACAATTATAATATAGACTTTTTAGATATCAATATGCTGTATATCACACCTAATATCAATTTCTAAAATTTGTATCCAAAATTTATTGTTGAATTAAGACCATATTAAAAACATTTTGTTATTGATAAAAACATACAAATAGATAATTACGTAACTACCCCATTCAAGTCTCTCCCATCCAGTTGTATGACTGAAATGATCCAAAATGTCCCATACAATTACCAGTTACCAAACTTCTAAATATTTGCAGTGATTTGCTTGAAATAAATAACAACAGTAAAAAAGAAAGTCAAACAGCAAAAAATGTGGAGTCCGCTAACATTGGTGGCCAGTGTTAGAATTGACCCCTAAAGCTGAGCATAGATGGTTCTTGGCCGGTTCAGCAGGGACTGACCGAGATTCGAACCATCTATGGCAGGCTGACTGTACCCAATTCAATTGTTGTACAACTTTGGTACAACATGCATGTCAGATTTTTCATGCGATTATTCCCAGCAGCTATATCCACTAGCAATAACCACTGTGTTCAAGAGGCAGAGGTGACTTCCCCTCAAGCCCCCTCCCCATTGGGAGAACACAATAGCTCCACGGAAGGGATTCCTATATCAGCACTAATTGTGCTGATGGGGGAATCAAGCAATTTTCTGTCTTGCAACCCGTGGTTGCAGGAAAGAAAATCACATTGTCTATGGCCTGCCTTACATTGGCAGTCAGTGGAAATTTGTTCCTTTGCATTGGTGGTCAGTGAAGGTGGGTATCAATCCACTATTTTTTACTGCTCAAGAAAATGATAACAACCCTAACCCCACAGAACCCTGACTGAGAATATAAATTCTTGCTTCAGTCCTTTCAGAGTCACTGACCTGGATGCATATGAGAATAAAATGAAATCAGAACTCCATATTTGCATACTTATTCCAAGGCGAGAGACTTAAAAGGTACTGAAACCACTGGATCATCATGACAACCAGGGTACTGTTTTTTTTTAAAGTAGATGTAAACAATGGCAGCTTCTATGCTTACAAGTCAATGGTTTCTCTATCATGATCTACTGTATGATAAAAAAACAGTGAATGTGTAGCGCCATGCTACCAGTCTGCTCACTGGAAGGTAAAGTGCCACCTGGTCGTGCGCAAGCTACTTTCATTCTCTGATATGAGGTCTGAGTTGGGATTAAGGGCCTGTTCACAATAGCACATGTGGTAGCATGCCTGCACTGATATGTACTGGTGCTGCAGGGCATTATCTGTAACCATTTTTTTTTTGTTTTACTTTATGGCGTTTTGACACATTACACCACATACATACAGTATATGACACAAAATTTCAGTACATACCAATTAGTGCATTGCTGTGAACTGAAAGCATAGAACATAAAGCAAATTGCCTTATTCTTGTGCTGGGACTGCATTGGGCAATGATGATCAATGCTGCTGGTGTAAAAATGCCCTGGGATGATATATTCTATGGGTATGGTTACCATTTAGATTAAATACTGTATAGGTCACTCTGATACATAATTGATTAAGCAAGAGTCATAATAAACAATATCCCCGTTCTCCAAAAATAATCTATACATATCCACTACTTAATGGTCCTGTAATCTATTTTTCATTCATTTTTTTCCTGCTGTGTTTTTCTGCCTCCTTGTAATGTCCTTCCTCAGCTCCCTCACTTCCATTTGGTCGGAACAAGCAGTGCATGTTAGTTGTCGTAATGTGCATTGCTCTATGTACTCTACAAATCACATAGTTCATAGATACTAGTCTCAGGAGAGAGCAAGAGAGGGTGGCCATGTTTTTACATACAGGACCATGAAAAATTAACGTAGCCACCCTCTAATAGGAAGTCAGATCACAGCCATCAAAAAAAAGATTTTGGAGAAGTGGAGATGCTGAGAGCAATAGAAGGTACTTTTTTGATTTTTTAATACATACTTTAATATAACTATTTTTAAGTGTCACTTTAAGCAGGCTTGAAGGGCAGGGAACATCATCAGTAGGTGATGCCAGTCTTAACCAAGGAACAAATGGAGGTAAGGATATTCATAGGAAGCTGCAATGCTATAGGCTTTGAACATTGTTTTAGTGTTCTTGGCTATACTGTGTGTGGGGCTGGGTTGCGTAAAGTTTATGGATGATTAAGCAGAACGATCATTTTGCTAAGTAAAGTGCTTTACAGTAATGTGTATTTCAACGGTGTGTGCATTTGCTTAAATTTGCAATTGCTATTTGTCCCTCTTGGGGGTAAGAGTTTTGTTCAATGCTCTTCAGACTAACCAACAACTGTAAAGACCTACAGTATGCCCACTGGCAAATGCAGAGTACTTTCAACAATGAGACCATTGAGAA